CACAGTCCCTTACTTACTTTTTAATAGCAGAAATGTCATCCAGATCATCCGCAACAAAGACCAACCATTAAGCTCATGTAAACAAATAAAAACTATATCATTGAATTTCTCTGTACAACACCTCACCTCATGTGAGCAGAGAACTGTCATCATGATAATATCTGTCTCTCCTTACTGTAATCTGTTCTGCACATGTTAAATTTACAAATTATCCCTGCACTCAAATTCACTTCATCTGTCTGTCTATTCGCCGTTATATTGTATTTCTGCTGATAATATGTCGACACTCATGCACTTTAACTTAACTTAACTTTAACTGTAACTGTTTTTGCACATTTACATTTAATCTTTCATATTAAGGCTAGTAATGCTAAGTTAAATCCTGGTTGTATATATTCCCATTCTTAGTTTTGATATTTTTAGTGCTTATTTACTTTCTATCTAATATTATATTGTGTTTAAATTTGCTAATATTGTGGGGTTTTTTTTTGCTAATATTGTGTGTTTGGACAACCTGCTGCTGTAAGGCCACAATTTCCCAGTTTGGGATCAATAAAGTAATTCTATTCTATTCTATTATGAATCATAGTAAAGTACAGACACAAAAGGTAGCCTCTACTACAAGTCTGTTGTTATGATGGTTATAACTGCTATCAAAGACATTAGCTACTTTTTAGTTTACATGGTGCAAAGTTGCTCTATAGGTAGAATAGAATTACTTTATTGATCCCAAACTGGGAAATTGTGGAAGATCTTAGGATAATGTAAAGATAAGCAACTAACTTAAGTCTGACCTAACATCTCTTTCTTTCTTTCCTTCTGTGTCGTTGTGAGGAGGTTTATTCTGCCCAAACTGAACTCTCAGAGGTTTATTAATCCTCAGTGATAATAATCCGGCACTCTGCTGTGAGAATCTCCCTGTTGTCATTTCTTTATGTTCACATCAGTCTGACGCTATTCACACTGTCAGCATTCTCTCACTCACTCACACACACACACACACACACACACACACACACACACACACACACAATCACAGGGCAATCAAAGGCACATTACACTATATGTTCAGTCTCGCCTCGCGGATTAAAAACTCTGCATGTGCACGTGCGCGCGCATTAGACAAGACAAGGGAGACTTTCTTATACGATGTTTGACGGGCTTTTGCATCCTCACCATCCCCCCTAATGCCAAATCTGTCATGTGAAGGACACACACAGACCTAAAAAAGAAATATAATACTCTCACGTGATCACTGTGTCACTCTCGTCCGTCTGCACGCGAGTTCAACAAAAGCAGAATTAGAGAGAGTCTCCAAAATCCCCTCTATTCTTCACGAGGCATATTAGCATTTTCTTTAACATATATAAATATATCTTTTAGAGGACCCCCCCCACCTCCTCTCCTTTCTTTTCTCTTTTTCTCCATTGTGCGCCCATTTGCTCTAGTGATCGTCGGTTATTTGGGGTCTGAAGCCGCTCGGCCGATCCCTGCCTCTTGTTGGGGCTTATCTCTTTCAGATGGAAATAGGCGATTTGGTCTCTTTTGTCCGCCAGATAAGCGCTGGAAGGAGAGAGAGCAGGCGGGTGAGAAAGGAGGGATGTATAGTGTGTTTGTGTGAGGAAGAGGGGTCTAAAATAATCGATCAGCACCCCCCCCCCCTCCCTCCCTCCCTCCTCTCAGCCAACCTTTGCTTAACTCGCGTGCCATCACAAGCACAGAGCCCTAATTGGTTCCCAGCACTAATTATCCAATTATCGCCTCTCCACCGGAGCAGCGCACTCCAGGGCTAGTCTGGTCTCTTTAGTGGCCTTCTCCTCGACACTATTGATGAAGATGATTAGGACTGAATGCGTCCATCAGCTCCGGAGTGCAACACTCGAGAGACTAGAGTCACGGCCTCTGTTTAGAGGCCTTAAAGAGAAAGATCGCACTTCACTCACACAGGGGCTGTAGCGTTCATCCAGCCTGCATTATCCTAGATCTCTTATAGCAAAATGGAAAACATGATGAAGTGTTGTTCAGGTTAATTAGGCGCTTTTCTTCGGTAAAATAGAGGTTATGTGATGTTAGACAGCTCTCACAGGGTCACAATATTTCACAGTGAAGTGTCTTCTTCAACTGTTCGCTACAGAAAATAGTTTCCGCTACCAAGTGCTTCTGTTGTTTTCGCTTAGGGACTGTATAAAAATGAACCCTCATTTTGACATTAGGTTCATATTTTGATAAAAGTTTTAGTGGTTCAAGCTTGTAGACTGATACTTCATCTAGTTTTCTAGTTAGATATATCTTTAAGTGTTGGACTGTTGGTCGGACTAAACAACTACCAGCATCTAAAGACAATACTGTTGAAGTTTCAATGAGGATTTTCTGCTCTTTCCTTGTGTTAGTCCACAAAATACACAAAAAACAACAACCCATTAACCAAAGGTTGTGTCAGTAATTGTTACATGCAACATTTCCTTTGAACCCTCCACAACATGTTACAGTTATACACATCAGTGTAGTGGTGCCTAAAGAAGTGGCTCATCCAGCAGAGGATAAACAGTCTATGTTATTAACACTGACATGCAAGACTTGCTTATTTAGTCAATGTTTACTATCCAATATGAGGAAAAGAAATCAGCATACTACTGAATATTGTCAATCAATTGATGGTGTGAATCAGAGGGCATTTAGATGTGGGTATGGAGGCTGAAAAACAAGCAAACGCCATAAACCTAGGTATACCCTGCACTACACCACTGACATCCATTGCAAGCCTCTATATAACTTGTATTATCATTTATCTCTTACAGCAAAATGAAAAACATGATGAAGTGGTGTTCAGGTTAATTAGATGTGTTTCTTTGGTAACATAGTGGTTGTACAACATTTTACAGTGAAGTGCCTTCTTCACAGACAATAGTTTATTTTATGCTAAACCTTATTTAGATTTTGTTTCTCTCATTTTCTCCGAGGGACTGTATGAAAGTTATCAAGGGAGTATAGAGCACAGCTGTTTTACCTTTAAAGCAGCAATCATTTCCCCCGGGGTTACCTACAGTATATTTTCCTCAAATTAAACCAATTATCTGTTGGTTGATCCATCATTTTGACAATTGTTAAATATGAAGGAAGCTTTTGCTGGTTCAAGCTAGCTTTTAGTGTTGTAGTCAAGACCAAGACATACCCGAAACCAGAGTGCTCTGAGACCGAGACAAGACCGAGACATTTAGGGATGGAGACCGAGACAGGACCAAGACATTTAGGGATGGAGACCGAGACAGGACCAAGACATTTAGGGATGGAGACCGAGACAGGACCAAGACATTTAGGGATGGAGACCGAGACAGGACCAAGACATTTAGGGATGGAGACCGAGACAAGACCAAGACATTTAGGGATGGAGACCGAGACAAGACCAAGACATTTAGGGATGGAGACCGAGACAGGACCAAGACATTTAGGGATGGAGACCGAGACAGGACCAAGAGCAAGGCAGGGCGAGGCAAGACTACGACCATAAATATCAACTTGTGTGCAGGCGTGTCACTTACTGATTATTGCAACTCGCTCTTCACCTCTCTCAGTACGTCCACCCTTAATCGCTTGCAATCAGTTCAGAACGCCGCCACCAGAGTTTTAACAAGGTCAAACAAATGGTCTCACATCACCCCAGTACTTCGCTCCCTCCATTGGCTCCCGGTTACATTCAGAATCCAGTTCAAGATCCTCCCTCTAACTTACAGATCCGTACACGGCCAGGCTCCTGATCATATAGTGGAAATAATTCACCCTTACCAGTCGACTCGGCCCCTCAGGTCAAACTCAAAACAACTGCTCTCTGTTCCCCATACTCACCTACAAGACCCGTGGAGATCGAGCTTTCCAGTCAGTAGCTCCCAGACTTTGGAATGCTCTGCCCGTGTCTTTGCGCTCTGCTGAATCTGTTTGTAATTTCAAAAGTCAACTTAAGACACTTTAGGCAGGCATTTGGATAACTTTCAGAATCAATTGATGCGCTGTGAACGTACTGTTCATTCTATTTTGGGAACTGTTTTTTTGTTTTTATTTATTTTAACTTTTAATTTTTGTTTATGTGCTCTTATTATTCCGGTAATTCTAACTACACCATTTTTACTACTGTTTATTGTATTTTATGTCTTTGCAAAGCACTTTGTGGCTAATGTCTGTGAAAAGTGTTATAAATAAAATTGACTTACTTACTTACTTAGACTGTAACAACAGGAAGGTTGCGGCCATAACTGGGGGGATACAAAATCCAGAGTCTGCCCAGTCTGAGACCAAGACAAGACCGAGAAAAAATTCTTATGATTCCGAGAAGAGACCCTGACCTTCAAAAAAAGTCTTGAGACTGGTCTTGAGACCAACACCGACTTTGAGTACTACAACACTCCTAGCTTTAGTTTGAGACTCTGATGCTTTTCGTTATTTTTCTTTGAGGTTAAATATAACTCCTGTTGGTTCTACAAAACAACACACCAGGATGGTGCTGTTATGGCAACTATATAGAGGAATATCTATTTTACTACACTTTATTTTTAATCCACGAATAAAAGAAAAGTGTGTACAGCCTCAGAGTAATAACAACATCTGTTAGTGGGCAATGAGACATTTTCTTCAAACCCTGACTACATGTCAAAGTTATACAGCCATATTCAACATCTATTCTACTTGTATTAGTCCTGCTCTCTTATAGGAAATGAAAAACATGATGAAGTGGTATTCAGGTTAATTAGGCGCTGTGCTTTTGTAAGAGGTTATCTACGTCAAGGTCACAACATTTTACAATGAAGCACCCACTTGAATTGTTTGCTACAGACTATTTGTCTTTATACTATAGATATAAGATACTATAGATCTTTCAGTCACTAACTCTACGGGAATATGAAAGTTATTGAGGCATATAGAGTGAACTGTCCTAAATATTTGTTATTGAAACAAAGTCAATTGTAATTGTAACATATTTGTACTTTCCTTTTTTTACCTCTTTCCAGACGTGAACCCATTTATCAGATGGTGGATCCAAAACTTTGATGATACATTTATAGTAAGGAAGTTTTTCTGTGTTCAAAATGTAAACCTTTCTTTGTCTTGTATGTATATTTTGGGTCTTTGGATTGTTGTTCACACAGAACAACACATGAATGAATTGAGGACCTTCGCTCTGGTAAGGTCAAATTTTCTTTTCTTTTTCTGTTGCTGTTTTTCCACCACATTATTGCATATGGCTTTAAAAGTTAAATGAAGGAACAGAGTTGACGGATCATTGGAAAATAAGAAAAATCAGTACATGCAATGTACTCTCACAACATATCACAATGACTTGTGCAACAGTTGTACCAATAAGGTGTTAAACCGTCCACAAACACAAAACAGGTTACCCTCATTTAACAATTATAATTGGGATTTTTGACACTAGATCAATTAGAGTCTCTAATGTGCTCTCCAAGAAAGTCAGGATATCCAGTAACCCCCGCCTAATCATTTTCCTACAGTCCCTATTACGATTTCAAATTGTATTATGTTCATTGTGTTCCACTAAAGTGATGTGACTGTCCCATACTGTAGAGTCTATATGCTCAATTTAAGGACTTGTCATCGACAATGCTCTATTAAACAGTCTATTCTGTATGAAGATGTCAGCAGCAGCAGGAGACCAACAGTCAATATGTAAAGTTGCATCACACAGTGCTGCAGTGAGACACATCTGAATGCAGCAGCAGGCTTGGACTGGCACCAGAACGTCACCAGATTGATAACGTCCAGTTACATTAAACATTTATTTTCTCCCCTCCACCTTTGTTTCTTTTAGTTAACTTCTGCCCCGATCCATCACCCTCCACCCATCTGTCGCTGAGAGCTGCAACACTTTGAATAAATTCCTCCCGACAAACAAAGCGCTTAACATCTCATGAATGCAGCTTTTTACACCGCAGACACAGACTGTGGGGAAACTTTAGGGCCAGAGGAGTAACCAATGCAAAGAAATCTGTGCCGGGACACTCCCTCCGTGCTTCCACTTCATTACCGGTATTGTGCTCGTGAGCAAGCAATCTGTGCGGCCGTCTCCGCCCGGTCCAGCCAGCTTTCTAATGACTTTCCAATGATGATTTAAAAGCTCGCAGGCTCGATTCCCTCCAAAATAACTCCTCCCACCTCCCCTTTTCATTCCTCCTTTCACTGCTTTTGAATCAGAACCGCTTTTGTTTGGAGCTGTTTCCTTCACTGGCACTCTGGATTCAGGAGAGGTCAGGAGGAGCGCACATAAAGATTCACACATCAGGCAGGAATGAAAGGGAACATATATAGGGGGGGGTTACCCGGCCCTGACTCAGTCTAGCAGTGGGAGAAAAGGGGGGGGAGGGAAGAATAAGAAGCTTGTGTCTTATTTTGTAAAGGAACTTAAAGTTAGCGCGTGAGGTTATGACGCTCGGGGGCGGCGTGTGCGCACACCTGATGGTCGCAGCGCGCCAGATTGTGCCGTGCTGTGGATGAACAGATGGGTGGAGGATGAGTTAATAGAAGCATAGAGAGAGAGGGGGGGAGAGGGGGGGGCGTCGTCTGCGAATCAGTCATGTGAAGTTATGTCTCCCTTTCTTCTCTCTGTCCACGTGCATTTAAGAAAAAAAGTCCCCTGCAAGTTGAGCTGATGGAGCCAAAGTCAGGTGGATGCAGCAATAAGTGCCTGTGTTAATTCATCAATCAATGTGGCTTTATCTGAGACTTATTGGAAATCTATAGGGCAGACTTTTACAGGGCAAAATGGTTCAATCACATCTTGACTGTGATGAGAAATGTGTTGTCCTGCCAACACAGCAGTAACACACACACACTGAATCACTGCATTAAGGATGGATAAACAGCTAAACCGTGAGCGTTATATCCATGTTTATGTAAGAGTCTTAAAGAAAAACTATTTTTTTTAACTTTGTAACAGCAGCTCCAGAGACAGATCCGCCCTATCACACTCAGTTATTTATAGCTGACACGTGAGACAGTCACTTAAAAAAAAAAAAAAAAAAAAAAAAAAAAGCAGCTCTGAGAAAGTTCTGTTCACACAGTTCATAGAGTGAGGCTTTAATGTCAGACAGCCAGGCAAACTTCTGTCTAGACTGAAATATCTCAATAATTAGGTACTAGATGGATTGCTGTGAATTTTAAGACATTAATGTTCCTGAGAGGATGAAGCCCTTTGCATCCTTTGACATTTACTCTAATATGAGATCTACATGTTGGAATACTTTATTAGGTTTTTCATTATGAAGAAACAATACAAGCTATGCCCTCTGAAAGTCTCCTAATGCAATACTTATACAACTGACAAGAAGGTAAGACAGAAAAAAAGGAAAAATGCACATCCAGACATCTCACCCATGATACCTGCTCGTTGATATTAACTTGAGTCACTTTATAAGTTACAGTAAGTCCATAGTTTCTAAAGGTAATGTTTCATTCTCAATAAAGGTTGTCAAATCCTCTCTTCACTAATAGCATACAGTTCTTTTCTCTTCTCTGATGTCCACCTTGATGTACGTATAAAGCGGGGAATCTGTCTTCCAGGCGCAATAAATTAACTGGACTCAGTCAGAGCTGTGTCAATACATTTAACAGAATGTTTCTTTGTTTCCCAAGAGACTAAACTGTGAATCTAGTAGGAATGATGTGGTTTCCAGCCCCAGCTCCTGCAATCCCATGACACTTTACCCAAAGTTGCTCCCACTTCCGGTTTGTGGCGTTTAAGTGTGTATGAAATGGATAAGTAAATACTCTTTATACTTTCCAGCAACCTCTGCCATCAGTGTGTGAATGGGTAGGTGTGACCTGCTGTGTAAAAGTGCTTCGAGTAGTCAGACTAGAAAAGAGCTACACAAGCTCGAGTCCATTTCCATATACCATGTGTCCACAGCTTTAGACATTGTTTCATGTAGATCATAGCTAAAAGTTGTAATATGTGTACATTTCCATGTACAGTGGAGCCCTCCACATTTGGAGCACAGAGTTATATCTGAGGGGTTAAGGTGGTCTTGAAGAAAACGGTCATCGATAAGTTTGAATCTGGCTTTATAAAGATGGACATTCTTCCATTGATCAGACCATTTCTACACCTAATCATATTCCCACCTCTCAATCAATCAATCAATCAATCAATCAATCAATCAATCAATCAATCAATCAATCAATCAATCAATCGATCAATCGATCAATCAATCGATCAATCAATCTGTAAAGTGTATATTTTGCTAATGAACTCTCTTGAACCTTGGTTAATGTGAAGGACCTCTTCCACTTTTGTCAGTCTACATTTTGTTTTTAATTAATCCTCATAGATTCAGTTGCTCCTGGACTTTTTCAAAAGCACCGCTGTCAATCATTTGACTTAAAGCGGTGCTGGTTTAGCTCATTTGGGTTAGAGGGGGATACTCTATGTTCAGTGACTACAGCCCCCCCCACACTCTGATCGCTGGTTTCCATTTCCTGCTGTGACCATTTGGTGCACGTCATCCCACATCTGTTTGTTTCATTTTGTAACACAGTCACAGTTTGGTTAGGTCAAGACATCCAAACTTCTCTGTTAGGTTTAAAAATGTTCACATTCTGGGCTTTAATGATGCATCAGTCATGATTCTGTTGTTTCTTTTTATTCTCACAGGGGACACATGGCCTCCTGGGTGAAGAAGAAGAGAAACGGCTTCACTAAGACACTCAAAGAGTTGAAATCTGCATGTGCTGCAACATCCCACAAACCATGTCAATCTGGTTAAATATCTGTACTTTAAAGTAGTCCAGTGCCAAAGTATCACCTGTCAGGGACATTAACCATTGGTGTCAACATATCCTCATTTGCTTAGAATTTAGCAGCGTGTGAGTTTTATTTTCCCTCCTTACTGTATATTTTCACTGATCTAGGCTAGCACACTTACAATACACAATACAAAAAAAATGTCATTACTCGGTCTTCTTTATCCTGATCAGAGACAATAAATGCTCGTGATGAGTTCAAAGATTTTCATCTGGAGTCAAACAAACAAACAAAGTAGTCGTCTTTTCTTCTGCTGTGTGTGCATAAAGCGTTTTACTTTTATACGACTGTTCATTATCATAGACAAACTTCGACAGACTTGGTTCCCATGATGACTAAAAACATTGGGAGGCTTATTAGCTCTTTAACTTTAAGCAGTAACCCACTAACCTACTTTATAGACTGTGTGAGTCACACAAGACAATCACTGAGTGCATTAGCAGCCAAGGTGGAAACGTTTCTTTTTCTATTTGATAGGCAACAGAACTCCCACTCTCACTTACTTTGTAATTCCTCTCTCTTATCTCCTCTCCCACTCCTCTTCCATCTGACTTTTTTTTCCTTATTTCTCTTTCTATTTCTTCACATTTCCGTGCTGTGGCTCTATTTAGAGCACGGCACAGGGCTGTATTAATGTGAGTAAAGAGGATTGCACAGGTAACACCGGTCCAGCTGGCACTAAACTCGGCGGTGCAGCTCCTCTCTCACAGAGCATTAAAGCTCCCCTGTTTATGGAGTCACCCTCCATAAATAACACTATATCATTCCCTTTGAACGTTACAGCACATGCTCCATATAAAACAACGCAAAATATGAGGGGACACCATGCACACCCATGCATACATACACAAACAACACACATGCTTTATGCACTCACTGTGTCCTCTCTGCAACACTTTGAAGGGAAGGCATTGTTTTCCCCTGGGAGAAAAACAACCGCAGAAGACAAATAACAATATTCAACAAATTGTCTATATGCACCAAAATGCCTCGGACCAAAAAAACAAAAAAAAAGCTGAAGGATCTCTGCTCGCACTATAGAGCTAATCAATATTTCAGCAGGCCGGCCCTGATTGTTCATGCAGGCCATGAGAGGGCTAATGAGGCAGAGCTGCAAAGACAATGTTCTCACCAAAGTAGGCTATCTGCTAAAGGACAAAATTATCCTTCACATCTGCCGGATCAGTCACGCTCCGCTCAGGATGAGAAGCTACCAAAGTAAACCACTCGAGACCTTCAGCATGACAGCTTACGGGGAGTCATACCTGAGTGAGAGAGCACAGATTTGGTTTTCTCTCTGATCTGCTGTGTCACAGTCCTCACACCTCATATGCTGTTTGTTGTCATCACACTTTGAAAAGCACTTTATGTGGGGATTGTGGTATGCAAATAGATTACACCTGATGGGTGACACCAAGTTATGAGGTTTAAATCAAAATGTAGGCAGCCACAACAGGCTCTTTGAATGCTGCATTCAATATTTGGAAGACTAAATGTTTTTGAAATTCAAAACTGTAGAAAAGTCAGGGGTTCAGGAAAGCAGATACTGCTTCTGGTTTATTTTAGCCTCAAGTTTGTATTTTATTTCAGTCCTCTTTTAGGATACACTTGTATAATTATAGAAAAAGATATATTAAGGGAACAACTTTTACTTATAAGGAGGGCAGCCGTTCTGTGGCTGCGTCAGGGATTTGTTTTGTGTACATCGTGTGCACTAGAAGTAGAAATAAAGTGAACTTTCATGATTCAGTTACAACATGTTTTTATGCAACAAACTGCCATTAAATTATTAAATATTAAAATTCATGTTATTTCCATTTAAAAATACCAACTTATTCTTAGAACTTAAACCCTTTTAAAAGAGTAATGCAAGGTTTAGCAAAACCAAGCTAACAAAGGAGCGTTCCAACATATACAAGCTGCCAACTTTATTACCCACAATGCAAATAAACAGCAGACAGTTCTATTGTAGATTGGACTGTTTTAGCCAATAGTACCGACCAAGCAGAAACCTCCAGGACTGAAAAATAAAGCCCATTGTAAAAGTGCAGTTCCTCAAATTGCCACTTGAAGCTGGCTCCAAAAGATAGTCAATCCCCATTTATCTTAATGATAACATGCCAAACTTTGGAGCATAATAACAAAGGTTTACAGCTTGCAATAAAACAACAGTAAAGCTTCAGTTACTGCTACATTGCAACCTGCATCGACTGTAGGGAGGAAGGGGCGAGGGTGGACAGCTCTCTCCAATGTATTAAATTTGCACTGCAGTACCAATTTTAAATGCTAGGTGTCAGTTACATATTGCTCCTTTAACCCATTTTGTTTCATTCATATGCCCCCCGCACCAAACCAAAGTTGTGCACGCAAGCAAAAGGTTTGCGACATTCCATGAAAGAAATAGACAAGTCTTTGCCAAAGTCCTGGATGACATGTTGCAGAATATTCCTTCGTGCTCATGCCCGACCAAACTTGATTTGTAAAAAATCGCCTTCCACTGTTTTGATACCTGCTGGCTGTTTTTGTTGCCCTCTTTCTCCTCCTGTATCAAATTACTGTATACATCTCCCCCAGCGTCCATTTTGACAAATAGCCATCACTCAAAATGCTTCAATCTGCAGGGGGAAACAATAGGGTTTCCCTTTGAGCCCACTCCTCTTCCCTGTTGTTACAGAGCCACTTGCAATATCAATCTGTACAGACGAGAGAATACAGAGGATATGTAGGGGGGAATCGAGCATTAGGTCTATCTCTATGCAGATGATTTACTCCTATATGTTTCCAAACCAGCCTCGTTCCTACCAGAAGCCCTCTCTGTATTAACATCTCCTCTTTGTTTCCATAACAAATTGAATCCAATTTTGTTTGAAGCATTGACTTAAACTGTTTTATTAATTATCTGATGAATTAGCCATGGTGACTGTATCACTTTAACAGTTTGCTGAACCCTTCTGTCTCTCCAGCTCCAGTCTAATGTGATCACTTCTGCCTACATAAATATCAAAATGCTAATGACAAGGTTTCAAAACAGCACTCTACAAATCGTTGGTTGACTTCCTGTTGGCTACATGCACTTTTTATATGCTGTCTATGATGCGCACACTCTTTTTCCATGTCCACACATCCGCCTTTTTGTAAATTATAAAACTTGTAGCCTTCAATCCCAACCAATGCTGACTCAATGTAACTGGAGGCAGCGTCAGTTGATTCCATCTATTTGCAAGATTTCACAAAACTCCCTCTGGAGCCACAAAAGGCTTCATCCAACAGTTTTCACATATGCAGTAGAACTCCCCAAGACATGAGAACAGGCTTTGATGTAAATGGAGCTCCTCCTAAAGATATACGGTTTTATATTGAGATACAGGAGCGAATAAGTTGTGCATACTAACACTATTATGTTATTTTGACATGTCATTATGCAGTGCTAACCCTGAGGAGGGTCTCATTTTTTGTTTACATCTGTAACCTCTTTCACTACCAAAATAATATTCATGCAACCCCAAAATGTGAAGTTCAATCTTTGATCCCACATCTGCGCTTCACCCAGAGAACCTTTTTGTCTTCATACTTGTTTTATGAAACACTTTACTAAAAAAGAAGCAAGGCTGCAGGACTAAAAAAAATGAAGGTCGAAAGTTATAAAAAGCTGTTAGCATGCTTCAGCTTGTGTCTCCATGGCCATCAAAGAGGAAAAAAGCAAAGTAAACACAGAGACCCTTGCAGGCACACTAACACACACAGCAGGCATAACCCAATTATCTTTGCTTACAATAAATGAGGAATAGTCAAATTAGTATTGGGTCTGGAAATACGTTCATACACGAGAATATACAAAGTGGAAGAAAACATCCTCAGTCACAATTCCTCACAGACCCTCGACACAAAGCCAAATGTAGGCTATTTCATAAAACTACAACCCTGTGTCATCAAAGTGCTCCCTGCGGAGGCGTTATTCTTGATCGCTCCTCCCGTCTAAGCGCCCTATTTCTCCACATAGTCATCTTTGTTTGCAACACTTGTCTAGCGTCACCGAGAGGAAAAAACCCGCGCTCGATTCATCTTAACAGTTTGTGTGTCACTGGGGAAAAAAATGGGTGAAACTTAAAAAAATTCAGGCTTTGTTGCCAGAGAACAGAAGGCTGACAAAGTTTTATAGAGGCAGCCATGAAGTTCTGCCTCATTAGATAGAATAGCTGTTCTATATTCAGGGTCTCTGTGGGGCTAACAAACCCAATGAGTGGGCCAAACTCGGTTCGTTCCGCCAGAGCTAGAGCCCTTTTGTTTGTGTTCGGTGGGTGGGGTTGTCGGGGGTCGTTCAAAAACCTGGATTTCACCACAGCTGAGCAGACTTTGTGAGAGGGAGAGAGAACAAAATGGACTACATATGAAAATCCTGCAGGATTTGAAGTTCCACAGCTTGTCCTTAAATGATTTAATCCATTTGTAACATCACAACACCGACACAGATTGATATCGAACAAAAAAGAGAGGAGTACTACAGGTGTTATATCTCCCGCCGTCGCACAAAGGAAGCACAACTCTTCCGCTGGAGCTTCAGGGTTTGAAAGCAATGACTGACAACTTTGTCAGAGGACTTCAGACAACTCACTAACAGACAGTGGTTTTAAAAGTGATCTGTCAAAAGATAAAGATAAACTCTTTGAGTAGTTTGGGACCAGAGCACCTTCAATTTATCATCATGTAAAAAATCTGCTTTGAGATAAACCTACTTACCAGATAAACTACTCCACCTGAATGCTAATGTTACTCTGATGGACGTTTAAAAGACAAAAGCTTGTGGTGTTTATCACACATACTCAAACTCCTAAAAAGGTATCTGTGTGAGCTGCATGTCTGAACGCAAGCAGACAATTTCTTTTCACCTTGTCTCTGACCGTTTTTTCCCTGCCAGCCCCCTAGAAAATGTTACACATTAAGTTGGGTGAACAGATGTGTTCACACCAAGCAGCAACATCTGCGGTTAAATCAAGCAAAAAAACTGCAGTTCCTCGAGTGACCTCTGGGGTGCCCCAGGAGGTCACAAACACACTCATTCACAAAGGCCTATTTTTAAAGTAGAAATTGAGATCTGGTTCAAATAACTAATTTACATGCCATTTTCAAATCAACAGATAGGCCTACAACTCTTTATTATTACAAACTGTGCAGGGTATTTTTTTATAACTCATCCCTTTTGATTCTATGAAG